GCCAGCAGGGAATATTGCTGCGTCCTGGGGATTCTCCAGGACCAGAGAAGCAGAGGTTCTCTAGGAAGTTTAGGTGAGTGCCCCTGTGAGACCATTTATTTTCTGAAGTTGTTGCGGGGAGCTGAGTCCCAGTGCTTGGGTTTTGAGTGGTGTCGTTTTCTTCTTGGAGGCAGGGGTATGGGTCAGATTGGGGGCATGGAGCCTGAGGCACAGTGGGGAAGAGAAGGATAGGGACCTGTGTTCTAATCTTGGCTTTGGGGTGAATCTTACAATATGCAGCGATGCTCAGTGGAAAGGAAGGAAATGTTGGCTCTGCCCAGGGGCATGTGGGCAGCCGCTTCAGGCGTCTCTGTGAGAGTCTAAACTGTACACACAGCCATGCTTGGCAACAGACTTTTAGAACCAGAATGCACTCAAATCGAGTATGATGTCTCTTTTCCGTCACTAACAAATGGTGTCTACTCACAGTCCTCTCTGGTCCTGTGCCTCGTTTGCTCTCACTGCCCCATTCGCTCTTCATTTCTCCCTTTCTGGGTCTCTATGTTCTTTTTCTGTCCTCCTCCTGCCCAGGAGAGAGCAAGTGCCTTGTGATCCTGGGTCTCCTGGTCACGGTCCAGCTTTTCCCAACATCTGAGGAATTCGTCTGACCTCATGACTTCATGCTTTTCCCCTTCTCTGTGACCTGTGATCCTTTGACCTGGAATCTGTATTTTTACCATATGGTTCTAACCGGAGGGTAAATGGCCGGAGGTTTCATAGTAGCAGGTCTAGAAATAGCTGTAAGGAATCTTAACACTCAGCCCTTTACCTCCGTGGGCCTTTGTTGGGTAAATGAAGTATCATGTTAAAAACCCTGATCTTTCAAGTCTTAATGTGTCCCCCATGGTTTATGCATTCAGGTGGACCTGGCTGATGTGAAATCCTTAAAAGAGTCAGGGGCAGGAGAGCATGAACACTGGGGCCTGAGTTCACATCCAGCCTCTACCACATGCTACTTCTGTGGCCTCAGCTTCTGTACCTGTAAAATGGGGACAATAATATTATCTATCTCATAGAGTTTGTTATGAGATATAAGTGGCTTATTATGTCTGTAGCACTTAGAACATTTTAGCTGTTATGGTTGGTTTTAGTCCCAGACGGACTTGGGCAGGAGTAGTGCTTTCAATATGAGCTTGGTTTGCAGGCAGACGGCTATGTTCAATCAGAGAAAGTTTCTCCAAGCTTTAGTTTCTTGAGCTTGAAGTGTGCTTACATTGCCATGGGGTCCCCAAAGAGTTACTCTCAGAAGGTGCCCTTTAGAGGTAAATGTAGAGGTGTGTGAGTGTGTGTGGAGGACCACGCGGGGCTGTGACTAATCCTTTACTTTAAGGCTGTGACCTAGCCAGCTGTGAAATCCATTTGGGACTTGCGCCTTTTCCATTTAGCATCCCCATAGGGGCCGACTGTCCCCAGGTCTGATCTGGGAAAGGTCTTAGGCCATAAGTCCCTGCCCCGTGGTTCCAGCTGGGATCGAAGGGTGGGGAGTGGGAGAGGTGGGGTGTGCCTGATTTTGCAGCTTGCTTTCAAGGACATCAGAGTCCCACAGGGCTGGAGGTTAAGTGCTGGGGCTGAATATGGGTCTTAGTCTTTCTTTGTGCTGAAATGACTTGATGTTACTCTGCCAGCTGGTTCTGTAGAAAGGCTTAGCTGGTTAATTTTAACAGCTCT